AGAAAGATGTGAAATCCTTCACGTGTCTGGGATGCATCATCGATGAACGTGGAGAATCCAATGCAGTCGTGAAGGAGAGTATTGGCGAAGCAAGGATAGCATTCCGACAAATAAAAGATATATGGAACTCAAAACAACTGTCAACCTGCATCACAATCAGAATCGTCAATACGAACGTCTAGACAGTCCTACTGTACGAAGCTGAAACGTGAAAAACTACTAAATGGTACAAGTATTTATTAACAGTTGTTTATGTATGATACTCAATATTCGTTGGCTGGATACCATCAGCAACAACCTATTGTGAGTGAAGACAAACCAGCTTCCAGCTGAAGAGGAAATTAGGAAAGGACTTTGGAAGTGGATAGGACATACATGCATTATGAGGCAAAGTCTAACTGGAAATCTTGAATGGAAAAGGAAAAGAGGAAGACCATGAAACATATTGTGTCGAAAATATATTGTTTGCACTACAGTTATTTCACATTTCTATTTCAATGGTCATCATATATGACTGTATCTTCAGTGTATGAACTCTCTTACATTTCGTTAACGATACTTTGTTGAAACATTATTCCTAACGTTGTTTCAATTCATAAACATTCTCAACTAACTAATAAGAAACTTTGAAAGAAGATTGATGAATACGTATTGATTATGCAATACTAGTTTTTTTGGCTTCGTTTCATAATTTTCTTTCGGAAAACGAATAGTATGAAATATAAGAATGGTAATTGTGATTAGTAGGTTACAATTGTTATGTACTGATCTCAGTATGAGTGTTAATTTGTCGATACTGAATATCATGTGGGATTGAACTTATGATATTTTGTCCACTTGGTGATTACTTAAGCATTAAAAGTACAGGTCAGAGTTTGATTGTATAATGTAAACATAAATTGTCCAATGTCACTGATGAGGATTGTTTCATTCTTGAAAAATCTGAACCTTACTGGTCATCACCTTTCATTAGAAGTATAAGAATATCATGAAGTAAGTCATTAGTGAGCTTACTGTGTTGTGGTAATTTTTCTATAACAACCTTATGCTATAGGATACATTAAATCGAACATTTTATTATCATGTATTTTCGTCATTAAAATCATATCTCTTTTATAGTTTATAAGGTACTGCATTGTATGTAAGATAGAAATAGTACACTCTTTTTTTGGAGAAGAATATGTTAGTTTACTTCACTTCAACCTGAAGTTTGTACTGATGATGTCTTTCAGAAAAACGATGGAAGTTCCACGACCGAACCATCCAGCTTAGAGAATAAAACTCCAGCAAAATGTTAGTTTATATTTTATTTCATAAGAAACTGAATTGGAAATCAGTCATTCATATTATTATCACATATTACTAACCTATAATCCATCTTTTGATTTGATGTTACCTCTACAATAAGGACTTTTTAATCAAACAGAGTAGTAAATGGTTGGCTGAGCATTGACATTTTAGTTTACAGATCATCAATTTAAAACATTTTCTATTCCCCATTCTAAATCTAAATGGAATAATCGGAAAGAGAGCCATTGTAGTACTTACGCATGTTACTCCCAATAGAGCATAAACCGCCGACCAGCATTCTCCAAACCACTCTGTTCTCGACTCTCCTTTCTAGTTCTATCCAATTGTTGTTCATTCTTCTCATGTCTATCTCAGTTTCTTGGAGTAATGTGTTATTTGTTCTTTCTCTCCTCCTTTGGCATTGTAGATTCCAAGTGAGGGATCGCCTTGTGACACAGTTGGATGGTTTCCTCAATGTGTGTCCTATCCAATTCTAGCGCTTCTTCCAGATTTCTTCCTCTGTTGCAATCTTGTTTGTTCTCTCCCACAGTGGGTTGTTGTTGCTGATAGTGCCTGAAGTATTTTACATAGACAACTATTAATAAACACTTGTATCGCCTGGATGATGACTTTCTAGTTCTCCAAGTTTCCGCTCCATACAGTAGAACTCTCTTGGCATTTGTATTGAAAATTCTGACATTGGTGTTGGTTGACAGACAGTTGTTTTGAGTTCCAGATATTCTTCAGTTGTAAATATGTTGCTCTTGTTTTTCCGACTCATGCTTTCACATCTGCATCAGATCCATCGTGCTCGTTAATGTTGCTGCCGAATTATGTGAACATTTTTACATCTTCCAAATCTTCTCCGTCAAGTGTGATTAAATTGGTGCATGTTGTGTTGTATAATTGAATTTCACTTTTCCCTTTGTGTATATTGAGGCCTCATGCTGCTTAGGCTGCTGCTACACTGATCGTCTTCTTCTGCATTTGTTGTTGCGCATGCGATAGAAGAGCCAGACCATCTGTCAAGTCTAGATCGTCCAGCTGCATCCTAGCTGTCCACTGCATCCTATGCTTCCCCTCAGATTTTGACGTCTTCATAATCCAGTCGATCCGCAGGAGGAAGAGAAAGGTTGAGATTAAGCAACCTTGCCTGACATTGGTCTTTACTTCGAGTGCAACTTCTTCTAGTGTAGCATGATTTTGCATAAAAATTTATCTGAATAGTGATATTAATTCTTCCAGGTTAATACATTTCAAATGTAAGTTAGTGGTTAACAGCAGTGGATGGATGAACTAATCAAATTTAAGATTACAGGTCTTTGATTTCGGCGCTCAACTCATTCATTCACTTGGCTAAATCGAGTTTCGAGATTTTAGATTATGTCATTTCGTGATGAAAATGCTAAATCTAATTCTTAGAACTAACCATCAACTGTTAATCATAATTCGAATTCCTCACAATAATTTATAACCCTTATTTGGTCCTAGTTATCAGATAGACACTCTCAAGGTCAGTCTAGCGTCACACAAATGTCGTACATAAATTATGGTCTTGCCGTGAACAGCAACCGTAAAGGAATCACGTTTAATCTAGATGTTATGGATGTTAGTGTTTGACAAAATAAACTACCTCTCATTCTTCAGTGAACCAGTACTTATCATTGGGTTCGAATCTCCGTCATATAGCACCACAATCAGAGATATCACTATTTATCTATTCCATATTGAATTATTTATACTGACGACCAAATTTTATACTGACCGACTAACACTATGACTTCTTGACAAATAGGATACTAATTACTACTTAATAATTAGTTGACACAAACATTTATGTCTTTATTTTTTTTGATTGAAATCATGAACCGATTGATGTGAGACCATCATTGGATACCTGGAAGCACTAAACGACGGTTTCGTCCCATTGTGGGATTCCTCAGCAATGCACCTCCACGATCCCGCCTCGCGGGATTCAAACCCAAGAACTATCGATCTCGCACACTAACACTTTACCTCTAGACCATAACCTTATACTGATATTTATTCTTAAAAAAAAACGTTTTCGTCATAACTTTTATTCACCAATATCTTGAGATCATTAAATATATAAAATTCAATGTTAAAAGTGACCATAATAATCCTTTTCCATTGAAACGTTGAATGGCAGTGCCTAAAATATATTAAAAATAATATAAACAAAATAAATGACTACAAATATGAATAATGAATGTTGAGTACGTTCATTAATGACGAAAGTTATCAATTTAATAGACTCTGAAAAGGTGTGGATTCGAATCCTACCCCCCATCACAACCTTTAACTCCGCTCGGAGCCCCTCTAGGACTACTACCGGTGCCAAGCCTGGATAAGGAGGGAGGGTTGAACATGGGGTTAGTGACTCCATCCCGTAGAAAAATAACTCGCTGAAAAAAACGCTAACCAGAAAAGAAATACATAAAATTCATGTCATTTTAGTTCTATACCAATTAAAAAATATGATACACGTTCCCCGATCATTACATAGTACCACTTATATTATGCTATTACTATATTCTTCTCTGCGATTTCAAAATTTAACATATATATATACTTTGATCGAGATCGTGAGTCGATCAATGTTAGACCTCCATTGAAAACCTGGAAGCTAATCTGTGTCAGGTAGATATAGGTATCTACCTCAGACAATGGAAGATGGTCATGTAAATTTGTTGAATGACGGTTGGTCCAGTGGACTAGCGGTTAAATGTTCCCGCGTGCTACCGAAGGTCCTCAGTTAGAATCTCGCCTGTGGAATCGTCAATTTCAAGTGTTGAGAACTTTCATACTAAGACGGATTGGCTGTTCAGTGCTTTCAGTTTTTCAACGGTGATTTAACATCAATGGATTCATGATCTCATTCAAAATGTTAATATACTGCACAAACCCATATAGACATATCTATAGCGTGACCTGGATATAGGATCTATGTGGATATATAGATTAAAAGGAATATTGTCGGTTGATTACATCAATCATCGTTGGAACTATATATATATATATATATATATATATATATATATATATATATATATATATATATATATATATATATATATATATATATATATATATATATATATATATATATATATATATATATATATATATACAACTGGATTTCATAACTTCTTAATGGTCTCTAACCTGTCAAAATAGATACATCTTATCATTAACGCTGATATTGATCTTGTGAAAATGTTATATAAATGTTGAAAAGCAATTCACATGTAAACATAATTAAATTACATAGTAACTAAGTGGAATCTATTTTGGCAAACCTAATACCCATTATTATGTTTATGATAACTGATAGAGTTAATTCATATATACGTTAATTATGACAGTTTTTAATTCATTAGAATTAACAAGGAATTGAAATTTATCATACATTCACGTGTTTAAATACCATAAGCAATTTATATTGTTTAAATTAATTAGAAATTTACATCAAAAATGTATATTGCATACATTATGGATTTGATTCCAATAGACTGTGATGTGTGCTACTGATGTAGACAGTTATAAGTAGTATGTATCATCGATCGAAAGTGAAATGCCTGGAGGCAGAATGTTAAGAAGATCAAAGAAAAGAAAACGTGAACGAGAACAGAGAATTCACTTGATGTTGTTTTAATTGTATCTTCTCATTGTTATTTAGGACTGCAATTGATCAATTTCTCTCTTATTGACATATGTGCATCCTGTGCGAATTGCCTCGATATAGTCTCAAGTCACAAGCTTTTTAAGCAAAGATTGATAACAATTGGCAGTGGAATCCAATTTGGCGCGCGTTTCGTCCTAATTAGGACTCTTCAGTTGGATATACCAGCAGAGAATATTTGGTGTGGAAACGAAGGAACAGTCAGGTTTGAGACAATTAATTGACATTTTACAAATGAAGTATTTACTGAATGGTTCTTAGATTTTACTAAGAGATTATGTAATTTTGTGTTGAAATACATTCGATTGTCCCCATTTGTGCTCTCGTTCACTACAAGACAACCATTGATAAACGATTAATATTAAATAAACACAGTTGAACTCCACTGACTACGGCTTCTCACTGGAACTTCAGAAAATAACATTTGAAGCCAGTCATTAATGAGCAGATGATGATTATTATCTGAATGGGGTTTTGTGGATATTGTTGAATTTTTTGTAACAGTTGAATTCATGAGGTATTTCCCAGAGTTCTAGTGAGAAGCCATAGCCAGTGAATTTCAACCATGTCTGTTGTAGAGGCAGTTACTCACTGAAGATAATGTTAAATAGCTACTTGATTCTCTATTCTTCACATCTAGAAACTTAACAAGGATCAAACCTAAGATCTACAAGTTTCTTCGTGAATAGTTTTCTTTTTAAACTAATGAGTTAGAACTTAGTGGATAAATCAGTTCTTCCATACGACCTATCAGTCACGATCTCTAAATATTATCATGTTGTCACTACAACCAATATCATCGCCACTATTCAGAGATCACATATATTGACAGATATGGATCAAATGTAGTCATATGTATCAGTAATGGAAGAATATCTAGAACCTAACAATTAGTAATCATAATCATAACAACTCTGTTGAATAGATCGTCCAATTTACCTTTATTTACAGAATCTGTAATGGAGATAATGCAGGAAACGATTGATAATGTTGGTGATATGGTTCAGTTTAATCTTTAATATCAAATACAAGGAGACAATGAACGAATTCTTTTGCGGTCATCGTTTGAATAGAATATGCATCAATAATGAATAAGCTTCATGTGTAATTTTCATGTCATTTAAGCCATTCAATAAAATCAGAAGTGTGTTTTTCGTGGATATTATAGTAATTTCAATGGTTGAGATTATAAGTCAATTGAAGCTAAACCATCATGGAAAACCTGGAAGCACTAAATAGCCATTTCGTCCTATTTTAGACTCCTCAGCAGTGCTCATCCAAGACCCCGACTCGCAAGATTAGAACCCAGGACTTATCAGTCTCGTCAATGAGCGCTTAATAACAAGACCACAAGATTTAAGATAGCAGATCTTGTATTTTAGCGCGAAATTCATTCATTCATTTGATTAGATATCATTTTGACATTATATCTGATGTCATTTGGTGAAAAAGTTCCTAACGTCCAACTGAAAAACCTAATCCTAGTTCCTTACACTAATGTATAACTTTCATTTAACCCTAATAAGTAGATGGACATTCCAAGGTTATTTTAGCGTTGCTCAAAAGGTTACTCATAAATTATAGTCTCATTGCTAATTGTATAAACCTAAATCCTATGAACCTATTAATAAGGTGATTGTTAATAGATATTCTCACAAACGTATAGGAGAGGGATAAGCTAATGAGAATTGAGAATGAGAATTTTGAACCTTAGTCTATAATTCGAATTTCATATATGATAAGCAGTAAAAATACTTTTAAGATGGTGGAGAAGATCTGTAGTTCAGGTGGATGATTTTGATGGAGTTTTCTTTTCTTAGCTGGATAGTTTAGTTGTGGAGGTTTCATCGCACAAACTTCAGATAGAATTCTATTTGAAGTTTGTACTGATGATGTCGTTCAGAAGAACGATGAAAACTCCACGACCAAACCATCCAGCTCAGAGAACAAAACTCCATCAAAAGTAAAAATATTATTATTTTGCTTAAAACGCTTAAACTAATTGTAAACAAATACATTTTACCATGAGAAAACAGAAGTGCTCAATTCTGTGGTCTAAGAGTATTACCCTGAATTCTAACCTTAATCTTGAAACAAACCTTAAATTGATGGCACTATATTTTATCGTTGTATTATTCAGATAGTCACTGTTGAACTTCTAGAGGAATTCATTCATCTGTCTACTTAGTTGTTATCAGATTTTGATGGGAATCTTAACTATAAACCCCTAGTCTTTACTATAAATGCTTAACCTTAACTAGGAATGACAACATGGGGACTTAAAACAGTATCTCGGTTCTTTAAAGAATTAATGAAATAAAATTATCCATAAAGATGAGCTTTGATCTGTCGAAGACATTAAATGTAATAAATCTCTTTACACTTAATTAGGTTTACCATTTTCTTCTCTATGAACTATTCATTTGCATAAGATGTATTCTGAATGAATTTGAACTGGTTGAAAAATGAAGGTTAAAAATGAATTCCCCGGTGAAAATTATATTAAGGACTACTTTTGGGTGATGCTAAAGTTACCCTGAAAATGTCTATCTATTAACTAGGGTTAAGTGACAGTTATAAAGCAATGTGAATAATAAGAATTATGATTTACAGTGGATGGCTACAAGGTTAGGGATTAGATTTAAAGTTTTCGTCACGTAGTGACATCAGCTATAGTGCCAAGATGTTATCTAGCCAGATTGATGAATGAAGTTCGAGCCAAAATTCAACACCTGTTATCTTAAATCTAATTGGTTCATCCATCAATTATAGTCTCGCAAATTATACTCTTATGAGCTGCATTTATGCTAGATCTTTCACAAACATAGTTAACATAGAAACGCAGATGTACAACAAAGTCATGGATACATGATCTATGTCCCAATCTTGCCAGTATTACATATTGAATTTTGCATTGTTTGCATTGTAAACCGAGGTATTTTGATTAGAGCGAACTAAACAAAGCAAAGTAAAAATACACTTCATCGAAGTAAGCAAAGAAAATATTATATCCGGTTATCTTCAATCATTACTGGCAGCTGATATGTGTCGGGTAAAGACAGGTATCTACCTCAGTATAATGGAAGATGGTCGCGCAATTTCGTGGATTGGTTAAGGTTAGACATTAACACCATTGAATGCCTGACGGCTCAGTGGTCTAGAGGTTAAGCGCTTGCGCGTGAGACTGAAAGCCCTGGGTTTTAATCCCGCTCGCGGGATCGTGGATGCACAATGCTGAAGAGTCTCACAATAGGGGATTATTGAGTTTTGATTGAGATCATGAATGGAACAAAGTTAGACCATCATTAAAAACATGTAAGCATTGGACAGTATTCGTGAGAGAGATCGAAGATTCTAGGTTAGAATCCCATGTTCAGGATCGTGGATAGGCACTGATGATGAGTTCCATACAAGGAAAACTGATCCATTCATGATCTCAGACAAGGATAAATTTTATAAAGGTTTTATAATTACATATTAGTAAAATATAATGAAGAGTAATGAACTTACAGCATTGAATTATTCCACCTCCTGTAAGAAGTATTACAAATTGTATGAATATGTGGAACGTTAATTCATAAGTAGTACTGTAGTAAATGAGAAATCAAGTGGGGAGGATCGATCTAATTTAATATAAAATTACAGAATACTTACACAAAATATGAAGAGCATACATTCAATACATCATTTACATATCTTCCATTAGTTATGCTTTATATGCTTCATAATTCTTTTAATTCTGTTGTTATTACAATTACTTTCTGTTTTCTTTCATTAAATCCTCCCACTCTTCAGTTGGTATGTATCCCACTTTCTACTTTTATCTGTCAACATAGATAGATTCATAAAGTCACTACCAAGTGGAGTGAGCCATGTTGGTCGACGTAGACTACCTGGTTGGGATCCGCGAGATGATAGCAACCGATAATTATATACCTTGAATGACATGAGTCAAATTCGGTTGCAATGGCGAAAGTGCATCGACTCTTTGTGTTCTCCTAAATTCTAATCTTCTGAATTCTTCATGTCCCCTTATTTTTTCTTTTTCCAAAATCATTTTGCTGGATTATACTCCCTGAATAACATCTTCAAACACTAATCTTTCCGATTACTGTTTATACTCTTACTACTTCTACCACCATGGGATTTGATTCGACAACAGCATCTCTGTACTAATGTGGTATGACAACTCGAACTGATGTACGTACCTACGAAGTTTCACCTTATTACTGGCTGACTGGGTGACTATCTGTCAACATAAGAAGTATACACTACTACTTCATGATATGATTCATAAACCTCAAGAAGATAGTAAAATATCTTGCAAAAGGGTTAGTTTTATTTGTTTGTTGTATATTGGTTACATTGGAGATTTTCGAAGTGTTGTAGCTTTATTGTTTTGATATGTATAAGACTTCGTTAATTCATGTAATGATCAATTATTATGTAACGCATAGGGATAGGATATTTCACACCAGCCAATCAAAGTTTAGATCCTTAAGCGTTTAGATTTTAATGAAATTCTTTTTAGATCATACTTTTAAAATCAACTGGTTACTATGTAAAGATCAGTGTCATGTATGTTAAGTTTTTCCTTAGTGCTGATTGGATTATATCAATCGAGTTGTCATGTGGCTACTAGTCCAGTTGACTTGACAGTGTATGCACTAGGCTGGGATGTAAAGTAATGGTTGGAAGTACTCTATGGGAAACCCTGTTAGACTTAGGTTTCCTGCTATTTAACACTCGTCAGCAGGGTATACTTGTAATCTTAAGGGAACTAATGTTTGTAATATTTGTGATCACATTCACATCATCTCATATATATTTCGACCCTGGTAAGGAAGAAAGTGTAGATAATCAGCGTTCCCTCTTGAAGTTCTCTCACATGAACACTTGTATACAGTCACTGTCAGGGGAGTCTTAATCACTACATGGGGGTGTTGATTACGAAATCGGGAGCACGAAAATCAAATTTCCGGAGCTTTAACCGGGTTGGTGGATATGGAGGAACTATCTAGGGGAGTAAGATCGAAGGTCCTGCATTTGAGTCTTGAGATCTTGGATACGCACTTCTGAAGAGTTCCAAACAAAAACGAGACGGCCATCCAGTACTTCTAGCTTTTCAATAGTGCTCTAGCTTAGGCCGACTCATGAACTCAACTATTAGAATTTATTATTATCAGACGGGGTTTGTGGAGATTTTAGAAATTTTCACAGATTGAAATCATGAGTTAGTTGAAGCTAGACCACCATGTTTTCAATGGTGGTCTAGCTTCAAATGACTCATGATTTCAATCTGTTAATATTAGAATTTATGTTTATTCTGAATTCAAATTTGGAAAATTCAATTGATCTACCGATTGATTCAAGTATACTTAACATTGGCAGTCATTTCAACATTTCAACAAGTTGTTACTTGTGAATTATGAAATCCCTTTTTTATATCCAAGATTCAACAAGGAAGAAATGGTCTATAATCATTGGATCCAACGTGGTTAATTAGTATGCTTATCTCATAAAATTTATTAATAGATGAATTCATCAGTGAAATCCTAGAAGCACTGGACGGCCGTTTCGTCCTAATGTGGGACTCCTCAGAAGTCAGCATCCACGACCTCGCCTCGCGGGGTTCGGAGCAAGGACTTCGAAACCCAATGCTCCCAGGTTTTCCATGATGATCTAGCTTCAATTGACTCATGATCTCAACTATTGAATTTACTGAAATATCCACAAAACCCCTTCTGATACTTCTCAAAATATACTCACTAGTGACTGGCTTCAATATGTATATCCTGGAGTTCTAGTGAGAAGCAGTGACCAGTGGAGTTCAATCACATCTGTTGTGAGATAGTAACTCACTGAAGACAATAGTAGATGTGTCGATCAATTTCATGGATTAGTTGAAGTTTGACATTAACACCGTTGGATGGTTGCCGGCTCAGTGGTTTAGTGGTTAAGCGTTCACACGCGATACCGATAGCTCTTAGTTTCGAATCTCATGAAGCGGGATCGTGGATGCGCACTACTGAGTAGTCCACCAGTAGGATGAAACGGTCATCCAGTGCTTCCATGTTTCCCATGGTGGTCTAGCTTCAATTGACTCATGATCTCAATCACTGAAATTACTACAATATTCACAAAACCCCTTCTGATGCTAATGAAATTTTAAATGAAAATCAGATTATTTAATCATCATCTATTTATTTCGTTTAGTATACTATTCATAAACTGGTAATGAGTAAAATGTGAAACTTACTCTGTGTACAAATTAGTTTAGCTAGTAAATAATGAATAATGATTACTTATAAGATTTTTAAACAAGAATCTAAATTTAAGAAAAGATGGATAATGGCTAGCAGTGGAATCCAGGATGCGCATTTCGTCCTATTTAGAACTCGTCAGATGGATGTACCTGCATCTAAGAACCGATGTTCACCCTGGGACTCGAATTCTGTATCGTTTGGTAGGAACGTCATCAAGTTATCCACTTAGTTACTGAGTCCATAAAGCTACTTTCTTATGCTACGCGGTGAAGTTAAATTCATTTTGTATTGGTTGTTTGAATCTTCCCGTTGATGTCTAGGACCGCAATTAATCAGTCTCTTATATACGCTTAAAGATATATGCTCTTATATATATGAATATATGCTTAGTGTTTTTATTGGTTAAGATCTCACTGAGAGACCTAACATTTCCGAGTTTCATCCATAGTGAGGTCATGATTAGATAATACTAAGAAACTTCTAGCTATAATGAAGTGACTGTCCAGTTCACCCATGATTTTAGGTCTCGTTCCAACTGAAACTGGTCGATCTACAAATGAAATCATTCTTTACAGAACTCTTTCCATTATTTTATATTTCGTTCATTATGATAAGTAGAGTGTTTTACTCACGTTGTCTTCTGGGATAATCTAAAATCATAGATGATGTAATCATCAATGAATAAGTTAAATCTAACAGTCTGTTTTCTCTAATACAGGATATAATAATGACCACAGTGATAATGATATTTGCTTCATTCTATATCATATGTTTGAATTATGTAACTAATTCTCAACTGGATGGGATATGTATTCATGAATGTATAGAGAATATGCTATTTGATGTTCAGTTTGAAAGGCAAATGCTTCGAATAACAGTATAGTTTCCATTTAGGGATTTCATTGCAGGCTGAAACATTTATTATATATACTTTTTCATCTAACCAAATGAAGATGTGTTACAGTGGATTGTTCGTAGATGACAAAGTATTAAATGTTTGAAATGAATCCTCACTAGAAAAAAGGGAATTCTCGGAGTTCTATTGAGAAGCCATGACCAGTGGAGCTAATCTGTGTCGGGTAGAGACAGGTGACTAACTCAGTACAATCGAAAATAGTCGCGCGATCTCGTGGATCGGTTGAGGTTAGATATTAACCCGTTGGATGCCGGCTGGCTCAGTGGTCTGTAGGTTAGGCGTCCGAGAGCGAGACTGAGGCCATGGGTTTAAATCTCGCGGGAGGGATAGTGGGTGAGCATTGCTGAAGAGTCCTACAGTAGGACGAAACGGCCGTTCAGTGTTTCTTGGTTTTCAGTGGTGGTCTCACATCAGTCAGTTCATGATCTCAATCAAAAACTTAATATTTCATATTTTTTTAACAATGGTTTGCTTCAATTATATTTTATACCCTTTTTTCAATCACTTCTGTCATTACGACACAATATGTCAGAAGGGGTTTGGTGGATAATTTAGTAATTTCAGTGATTGAGATCATGAGTCAATTGAAGCTAGACCACCATGGGAAACATGGAAGCACTGGATGGCCGTTTCGTCCTACTGGTGGACTACTCAGTAGTGCGCATCCACGATCCCGCTTCATGAGATTCGAAACTAAGAGCTATCGGTCTCGCGTGTGAACTCTTAACCACTAAACCACTGAGCCGGCCACCATCCAACGGTGTTAATGTTTAACTTCAACTAATCCATGAAATTGATCGACACATCTACTATTGTCTTCAGTGAGTTACTATCTCACAATAGATGTGATTGAACTCCACTAGTCACTGCTTCTCATAATATATATTTAGCGTATAATTTAAAAAAGAAATCTAATGCACTTACTCAATATAGTTGAGTAGAATGGAAATATACCAACACAAACTTCAAGGAGAAGTGAAGTATTCAAGTTACGTCACATATATGACTCAGTTGGTCCTATTAACCTTAAACTTGATCTTTAGCCTATTCCACCTCTACCGGAAGTTTGTATTGATGACATTATCCACACGACCAAAAATATATAACTCCACGATCTAAACATTCAGCTCAGAAAATGAAATTTTGAGATAGACTAGTTCAAAATGAAAAGTTCGGGGTTGTATAGAAATCATGTATCTGTGCATATATACTAGTTCTAGGTCAACTATTTACTGAAAGATTTCGATGCATGAACTCTTTTGGTCGAAATTTTAATTAACTATCTGAGTTTGAAAACTGAATCCAAAACCTACTAGACAAATATTTACAGTGTGAACGAATATTTCAGTACATTGTAGACAGTTTAGATGATGAATTCATTTGCATTGACTGTTTGAATCTTCCTTCTTATTGATGCTTAGGATTGAAATTGATAAGTATTATCGTCATTTTTTACTTCTTTTGGCTTTAATGTTGCTATTTTAGTACAATGGTTTATATAAAGAACAAAATAATCAAATGAAAGTAGAAACAATTCACTCAGTTTATTGTAAAGATATAAAAATCTTTCTTTGAATTCATTCTAGATATGATGGTTAGTTAATATTGTCTATCAATTAAATGACGAGTATATTGCACAGCAGTTCGTTCTGTTCTTTTTTATGGCTGCGAAACATGACCATTAAGAGTAGAAGATACGCGTTAGTTCCTAGTATTTGACCACAGATGTCTTAGACATATTGCTCGCATCTGTTGGCATCACTAGGTAAGTAATAGTGAGGTTAGACGCAAGATATTACGGAATGATCGTAAATCAGTGGATGAGATTGTGAATCTTCATTGACTAAGATGGTTGGACCACGTATTGCGTATGCCAGAACACCAATTACCACGACGCGCAATGCTGAATAGTGTTGGGGATGGTTGGAAAAAGTTAAAGGCGGCCAAACCAAAACGTGGCATCAGTTCACAAAGTCACTAACTTCTAGTCTGAGCCATGTTGGTAGATACAGATTACTTGGTTAGGATCCGCGTGACTATCTTAACCAATGGTTGGAGACTCTTGCCTCAGAATCGATCACAATGGCGTCGGTGTGTGCACTCTTTGTCTTCCCTTAAACTATGGAATTGCTTCATATCTTTCTTTCTTTGAACTAATTTTTCCTGTTCTATATCCTTATATGTAATCTTTCTTTTATATGTTACTACTATTGAGGTAACTGCTTCTATGAATTCGGTGTTCATCTTGTTGTACTAATGAGGTGTGGTAACCTGGACCGATGCATATATGTACCTGATCCTACGTTGTAGCTGACTGACTGATTGACTGATAAGTAGGGAAGACACTTTCAGTGAAACAAATATGATCATTAAAACTTTTAAGTCAAAATATTGTTACATAAGTTGATTTCTGTTTTAACCTTAATATAATCTGAATAGTCAGTACTTAGTGTTACATGTTGAATAAATTTATAAATATCTTAGTAACTAAGTCGATTTAAAAACAACACAACAACATACAGTTTCACAAATGAATCCTATTCAACACATTATTTCCTTTAAATGTGTATTCATATACCAAGCTAACTGATGGTAATTAGCATGGAACTAAAATATAACAGAACCTATTGTTGTACTATTCTTTGGATGCTACTTTACCATTAAAACTTTTAAATGTTAAAGCAAAAACTAAGTAGTAAAGCTTGTGACTTTAGACAATATCGAGGCAATCCGCTCAGGTTGCACAAGTGGCAACAAAAGAGAAACTAATCAATTGCAGTCCTAAATAACAATCAGAAGATACAAGTAAAACAACACCAAATAAGTGAAAATAAGTAGTAGATTATAAGTAGTAAACATTGTTTAACTTACAACGAATAAGTCCTATCATACATAATAAATACTATAATTTAATATTTTACTACTAAATAGGTATCCATATCATGGTTGATCTTGATAGTTTCAAATAAATTGAGCATTGGATAGTGAGTTAATAATCAATATTCTTGATGTTTTGTGACTTAATGTAAGTAACTTCTTCAGAGTAAATAAATAACTGACAAAATGTTATAAATACAATTTTTCTGCTCATTGAGCATATGCTCACTACTGACTGGCTTCAAGATGTATATCCTGGAGTTTTAGTGAAAAGCAATGACCAGTAGAGTTCAATCGGGTATGTTGTAAGACAGTAACTCACAATGGTGGATACGTAGATTAGTTGGAGTTAGACATTAACACCGTTGGATGCCTGACGGCTCAGTGGTCTAGAGATTAAGTATTCGCGCGAGAGACCAAATGCCTTGGGTTCGAATTCCGCAACTGGTGTCGTGTATGCGCACTGCTAAGGAGTCCCAAATTGAGACGAAATGGTTGTCCAGGGATTTCAGGTTTTCAATTGTCGTTTAATATCAATCGGTTTATGATCTCAATTAAAAAAATGTTTATTATTTACTACTACACGAACTACATCTATGATAACGATCATAATAACCAGTGGAAAAAGCAAATAAATAAGCAACATAAGATCATTATAAGGATAAGCTGAGAAATTTCATTCATTTACAAAGTTCTTGATAATTCTCATGTATACTCAGAGCTTTGAATTATTTTATGCCGTTGAAATAGATGAAATATTGATAGGTTTTGGAGAATTCTATCAAATCACTCGTCAGATGAATGAAAAATGTGTCGTGTATTCTACTACTAGCCATATTCTATTTATTGAATATTCATCTGTGTATTAATGGCTACATGGAGACAATCAATATAGGATGAAAATATGCCAACCGATAATAGACGACTCACTTACTCACGGCTGTTACTCCTTGTGAAGGAGCATAGGCCGCCCACCACCGCTATCCATCCAACTCTGTCCTGGGCAATTCTTTCGAGCTCTTTGCAGTTGCTATTCATCCTTTTCATATCTGCTTTGATTTTCCGACGTAATGTGTTCTTTGGTCTTCCTCTTTCCCGTTTCCCTTCAGGATTCCAAATTAGCGCTTGCCTCATGATTCATTTTGGTGATTTCCGTATTGTATTTCCTATCCATTTCCATCGTCTTTTCCTGATTTTCGGTTCAGATTGAAGCTGATTTGTTCCGTTTCACAGTAGTCTGTTGCTGATGATACCACCGTCCAATGAAAGTTGAGTATCATGCGTAGACAACTATGTATAAATACTTGTACATTCTTGATGATGGTTGTATTAGTTCTACACGTTTCAGCTTCATGCAGTGGAACTGTCTTGACGTTCGTATTGAAGATTGTAACTTTAAAGTTCGTTAACAGTTGTTTCGAGTTCCATATGTTCTTCAATTTTAGGAATGTGACCCTTGCTCTTCCAATCTTCGCTTTTGTGTCTTCATCGGATTCACCATTTTCATCGATGATGCTTCTCAGGTATGTAAAGGATTCTAAATCTTCCAGAGTCTTGCCATCAAGTGTGATTGGGTTGGTGTTCACTGTGTTGTATTTGAGGGTCCTGGTTTCCCCTTGTGTATGTTGAGGTCTACTGATGTAGAGGCTGCTTCTACACTAGTTGTCTTCATCTGCATTTGTTCGTGTGTATAGGATAGAAGAGCTAGGTAATCTGAAAAGTACAAATCGTATAGCTGTCTCCAAGCTCCAATATGTTCTGTGCACCCCTTCATAGGTGGAAGTCTTCATAATCCAGTCAACTACCATAAGAAAGTGAAAGGCAGACAGTAGGCAGCCTTATCTGACTCCGGTCCTT